GTGGGGGGGGGGGGTTGTTTTGGGGGGACAGGGGCTGATGGTTGGGTGTTTTACATGCTTTTGGGAGCCTTGGGTTTATAGAGCTGTGTATTTGAATAATTAGTTATTTATCTTTCCTTTCTATTTGAGCATAAGTAAATAATTAGAATTATTTGTATTCCTGTGTACAAGAAAATGTTTTCTCCAGGAAAAAAAGTATTGGAAGTTAGCTAAATGATAGATTTACAGGCGATTTTTCGTATTTTGGTATTTTTCCAAATTTTTCACAGTGAGACTATTTGTACAAAGAGAAAAAATAACTTCCTAAAAAGGGAAGAAATAACCCTGCTTAGGTGTCTTGTCCGTGTGGCCCAGGCATTTGGTCTGCTCTGCTCTGCCTTCTGTCCCTTTGCAGGTTAAACCTTGCCTTTATTATAGTCACTTGTTAGCACAAGAATCCCCGAGGGGCTGCTAAGCACAGTGCTCAGAAACTGTACGCGCTTCTCCGGTCTCACTGGTCGGAGCCCCGGCTCCGCTGGGGGAGCGCTAACTGCCCTTTGCCTTCTCCAGTCCATCGTAGGGGCAGAGGGCTTGTCCCTCGCGTTCCGGCACATCGCCAGCTCCCTCCTGGGCCACTGCAGCCACGTCTCCTGTGAAAGCCTGCTTCACGAGGTCATCGTCTGTGTGGGCTACTTCACTGTCAACCACCCGGATAACCAGGTAAGAGGCCCCGGAAGGTTCCGGAGGCTGCTCCCCCAGCACTGAGAGTGAGGTATGGGAGTGAGGAAAGGCAGGCTCACCCATCTGGCCTGGGTGAGGGCCTCCAGCAGCCCCAGGGAAGTCGGGAAGTCTCTGACTTCTCTCCAAAAAGATTGGATCAGCCTTAGATTAACAGTAGGGCCCCTTGTAGAGCTGGACAACGAAAATGTTTTAATAAAACATTGCTGAGCCACACAGCAGCATCTGCTCTCCTCCCGCGTGGATTCTGGTGCTGTCTCCGCAGACTTCTTGTTGTGGTGAGGTAGAGCCTCTTTCTGCTGGGCACCTTGCAGCCAGGGCTCCAGCCCCTGATGGCACTGCTCCCGGCCCTCGGCCTCCCCCACCCGCCCGGAGTCAGAGGCCGCCCGCCTGGAGGAGGGGACCTGAGGCAGGCTCCTGAGTCGTTTTGCGTTTGGTTTTGATTATTTGGTTTTTGAGCAAGATTTCATTTGTAAATAGGGTTCTGCTGCTTTAAGAAGTTGGGAGATCTGTGTTACAGATTTTGTGAAAAAATAATAAAGCACTGTATTTCACTTTATCTGTGAAACCAGAGTTATGGCATAAATAACATATCAAATAGTAATTCCTGACAACCTCATTTATCTGTCGTTTTTATCGGGTAACTGGAAGGTTGTACCTTTCCCCCACCCGCCACCCCTCTATGAATATATTTACATAGCTGCGGTCATGCTGTACATACACTCGTGTCCTGCTTTAGACACTTAACCTATAACGGAACCATTCTTTACAAGTATCATTTTTAGTGTCTGAATGGCTATTTCTTATGTGGACAGCCCGTGGTTGACCTAACAGTTTCCTGTTTTAAGTTGTTTACCATATGTTACCATGACACCTGCTGCACTTACAGAGGCGAGTGATTTGTGTGTGTGGTAATATTTTGCTGTGTACAGTTCCACAGCAAAAAGTTCAGTTCTATGGACCTTAAAAATAAAACTGCTAGTTATTTTATCAGCAAAAATGTGTTTAGCCCTAGCTGATTTGGCCCAGTAGATAGAGTGTCGGCCTGCGGACTGAAGGGTCCTGGGTTCGATTTGTCAAGGGCACATGCCTGGGTTGCAAGCTCGATGCCCAGTAGGGGGTGTGCAGGAGGCAGCCAATCGATGATTCTCTCTCATCATTGATGTTTCTATTTCTCTCTCTCTCCCTTCTTCTCTGAAATCAATACAAAATATATTTTTTAAATGTGTTCATTTGGGAATAGCAGATAATTGCAATTCTGGATAAGCATGCTGTAGCAAAAGACTTTATCAGTAGGTCCAGAAAACAAAGGAGAACGTTACTTTATAGAGGAAAGAGAGGGGACCGCGGGGGAGCTTTGGAGAGAAGTCCATCGGAGGAGCGGGAGCGCTCATGGGGGCGATGCTTCTCATTGGCTGAGTTGCCAGGTTTCCGTTGGCTGGTGTGTGGCTGGGGGAGGAGAAGACCTTCTCGCTGGTGGTGGAGACCCTTCCTGCTGGAGAGGCAGGGTGTGTGCTGGGTGCTGGGTGGTGCTGAGCACGCCCCCTTCAGGCCCCAACGCCATCGCACAGGCGGTTTCTTCACGGCAGCCAAGGTGAGGGACAGTTTCAAGCTCCGCTAACCACTCTGTGGTGAGAATTACGGAGCTCGGAATCGTGTGGGCTTTCCGAGAGGTTTCCTGTGACGCTGGTCACGGACTGGTCCTCTCCTGTAGGTAAAGCACCTGCTCTGCGTCTCTGGGCTCACCAGACAGGATGGGAAATGGGATCGGGGAGCTGGTGTTTGCAGGTGGCCTGTGACAGCCAACCTAGGCCTGCGGCCAAGCAAGGAGTGAGCACGCGGGAACAAGAAAACACATTAAATAGCAACACGAGGAGACAGGACCTGGTGCTGGTCAGTGCCGTGTGGGATAATTGTTGAGGGTGAGCTCGCTGTGAGGAAGAAATCAGAAAGGTGGGAAGAGCCAGACATCCCTGTCAACCCCTTGCCTCCCAGAAGGACTGGATACCAACCTGGACATCCACTTCCGGTTCAGGGGAAGGTCAGAGAGGTCATTTCAGCCCCAAGGCAGTGGCTGAGGTGCAGCAACCTCTGAGAAGAAAGAATAGGGTAAAAATACAGCAGAAATCATCCGAAATATAAACGATAGTAATTGTCAAACACTGAGCACTGGGCCTTATGCGATGCTGTTTCTAAGCATAATCCCTGATATTTGTGGAATTCTTTATAAATTGTTCCCATCCGCTGCTCCGGGACTCCCTGAGCCCTTCAGTGCGGCTGCAAGTGCAGGAATTGTCCTGCCTCGTGGACAGTGAGGAACTGGGGTTCTGGGGTGATGCCAGCCCTGAGATGACGTAAGAACCACTAAGACCAGGACTAGATTCCAGGTCCTGCAAAGCCCACCCCGTGTACGTTTCATTTCATTCCATGTCGCTTAAGGCAATCAGATGTCCACAGCCCCATCTACTGGTGATCCCTGACGTGTACCCGGGCGGGGCGGGTACCCAGGCATTGAGACGCTGCCACCCTGCGAGTCCTTGCGCCTGGACATCTGTGTGCCTGACTCCGGAGCCGCAAAGGTCCTGGGAAGCTGTGAGTGCGTGTCTGATGAGTGCGTATCTGATGAGCGCCAGGTGGGCCACAGGCTAGGAAACAAGCCCGGAGTCTAACCCCACTCCGCCCTGGCTGAGTGATCTCAGAGGGCCTTTTCCCTCTGGGGCTGGAACTTTGTGGCTCAACTAAGAGGTCGACTGGTTCTGGAAACGGATAGTGGTGATGGTCGCACGATATTGTGGACACACTTAATGCCACTGAATGGTAGGCTCAAAAATGGTTAGAATGGTAACTTTCATGTTGTATATATTTGCCACAATAAAATCAGTTTTAAAAAAGTGGATGGCTTTTCCTGTGGGAGCCGCCGGGTGGAGAGGAGTGTGGCCTTCTCCTCTCCCCGCCATGCGTGTGCTCATCCACTGATACCTGTGTACTCTGAAAAGGGGGAAACATCTGGCAAAAATGTCACTTTGCCTGCTGTGTTCAAGGCTCCCATTCAACCAGATATTGTGAATTTTGTTCACACCAACTTGCGCAAAAACAATAGACAGCCCTATGCTGTCA